CTACAATTCCAAACACAGGGAGATGCACCACAGGAGGACAAGCTGAGTCAAAAGACACAGCAGAGGGTTCCAAACACCCACAGCTCTCCCAGGTGGGCCACAGTATCCCAAAGCAGTTGTCTGTTTGCCAAGCTCTTAGATTTCAGTATTTGAATCTTAGTTGCATCTATGGCACAAAACCCAACCCAGAGCAAGCATGCCTTTGGATTTTTACATCAGGAGAAGAATCCCTTTCGGTTGTGCACCTACTATGTGCTGGGCTATTTCTATGGGTTGGAAGTATAACAGAAACCCAGGAGACGAAAATCTCTTCCTTCATGAGATTTTCTTTCTGCTGGGCCTAGAATGTAATCGAATGAACAATTTGCATTCCTAATTAATTAATTAGCATGTGGGGAAGAGAGAGAGAAAGGGAGCATGTAGTGAAGAACTCGCAGAATGTGGCAACCAGCTTCATGACAGAGGCAGAGTATTTGGCCTCCCACTCCCTGCACCGTCATCGTCCCCGACAAATCTGCTCCTTCCTTGTGCCCACCCCTCTCAGCATGGATGCCTGTGCTTGCCCAGGTCTCCCTAAATGCCCCTGACCACCTCTCTCCTCTCCATCCTCAGTTCCCCTATGTTGGCCCAGTCATCACCTGCCCCAATTGGTTTCTGCCCGCCCCCAGCCCTTTCCAGGTTGTTTTGTCCACTCCAGCCTCTTTTCCAAGGCTGCTGGGCACTTGGCTTAAAATATTTTCTATCATTTTGTTAGCACCAGCCATACTTGGTTTATTTTCTTCCTTGTAACTGGACAATCACCTCTTCTCACACAAGCCATCCTTGTAGCCTGGAATGTTCCCTCTCTTCTCAGCTCCCCACCTGTCCCCACTTGGTTTAACTACTTCTAACTACATCTAACTGCCTCTTCCTCATTCTGTCCCTACAGTATCCTCGAACCAATCTACCATCTTCCCCCACCCCCACTTCCAACCTCCATCTCACTGTGTAGCTCTGGCTGGCCTCAAACTCACGGCAATCCTCCTGCCTCTGCCTCCTGAGTGCTGGGATCACAGGTGGGCACTACCATGCGTGGCACAATCTCTTCATCTTAGCATGGCCCACAGGACTGTCCCATTCACCAGGAATTTGTATAGTATCTGACACATAGTAGAGATGAATAGAGGAATGAACCCACAATGGCCTAGTCAGTGGCAGTCAAAGCAGAATGGAATGTTCAAATCTCCGATGCTCCACTTTCTTGATATACGACCTTGAACTTGGCATATGACCACTCTGAGACCTTCCTTGTCTATAGGAAGAGTTAGTAGCAGGTATTTGAGGATTGCTGGAAACTTGAGTGTAGCACCACTCACACCTGGCACCCAGAAGTTTCTCTGTAAATGCTTGCATGTCTATGGCTGAGAAGCCCATAGTGTTAGTGCAAGGCCCTTCCTCAGAAGGTTTGGAAGTTAGACTAAATTCCCCCCTCTATTCTGTAAATGTGTGACATTATGCCAAATATTTGCATATTTAGGTGACTTGGCTTCCTCATCTGTAAAATGGGAATGAAGATGATGCTATCTCATAGGATAGTTGTAGCATTCAGCATGGGTCAGCACCCAATACATGTCAGTCAGTGTCATTGCTATTAACACATGACACTGATGACCACTCTGTAACACTCTTATCCACAGTCCTTGATGAACAAAGAGACAAGTTTCCAGAGAGGTTAAGTAACTGTCCAAGGTCAAACAACGAGGAAATAGCCTCAGCCTTATGTTTCAAGACCAGGTCTGCTGCACCCAAATCCCATGTTATTTCCACTCTAACAAAGAGGCAGCTCAAAATAGGCCCGTGGCATTTCAGCTAATTTCCTCTAAGCCCTTCCCACGTAGCAGACCCTGGTTGCACAAAGCCGCTCCCTAGACATCCATTCAGCAGCTACTAAACACAGGTGCCTAGGGCGTCCCAAGCAGCTAATGGAACTTGTGCTGCGCCAGCTCCTTCCAGGTGGGAGGCCTGGCCTGGCCTGCAGAAGAGCTCTGTGGCTTAGAACTCACCTGGAAAGGGGGAGGGTAGTGGTATAAGAAGTACATGGAAGATGAAGCTGACGATCACTTTGGATGTAAAATGGGGACAAGAAATGAGACACTGCCCTTTGCTAGGCTTTTTGCCTGTCTCCTACCTCAACCAGTGCAGTCCACACTGTACATCCATTATGAATCCAGAGCTGCATTGGGTCCCAAGGCATAATCGTGAACAAGACCTAGCTCCTGACCTCAAAGGGCTTATGAGGCAATGAGAGGTGGTCATGCCCACAATAAAATGTGATCCATGTGATGGCTGAGGTCAGAGAAGCCCGGTAAGTAGCGAACAGCAGGGAGTAGCTGGGAAGTTTCATAAGGGAGAGAGCAGGTGCTAAAGGTGTCCCCTTTCCAGGTGCCAAAACTGAGGCTCCAGGAGGTCAACTCAGATGGAGTCCCAGAGCAAAGTTTTCCCCTCAGGTATGTGCCTCATGCAGAAGTCTATACTGTCTCTATGTGGGCTGTGGAGATGCATCCCCTTCCTCCCCTACCTCTGTCCTTTTCTCTGTAATAATCTGGCCAGAAGATGACTCAAGTGCTGTGAATGCTACAGCTTCCATCAGCGGCTCCAAGGCCAGCAGACTCAGTGAACACACAGAGGCTTCTAACCTTCTGCTATGGGTGCTTTTTGAGCAAAAGGCTTGGGGGTTAATCTAAAAGGGGATCAGGATGAGACATGTTTTGCCCTCACTATATAGGGGTTTCTTGGAAAGGTCAAAGATAACAAAGGTGATGGGCATCGGTGAGAGTAAATCTCTCAGACACCCAAGCATCTCTCCACAACCCCCTCAAAAGGCCTAGGTGACCTCAGAAGCCTTGGCACCTGCCCCTTATGTTTCCTCAAGGATAGAAGCCAAGAACGCCCACCAAAACCACTGCTGAATGGCCCCTGGAGCAGCAGACCAGTTCCTCCCTCTAAGTTTCCCCGCTCTTGTCCCCACCCTCCCTGGGCAAGAAAACAGAGCCTGAGAAGTCCTCTCCTGCAAGCCCAGCTCCAATCTTCCCTTAAAGTTCCTTAGCAGAAGTTGCAGAGCTCTGGGTTCTATTCTCTAGACAGCACTGGAAGCACAGCAGTCCACCCTCAGAAGTGTCCTGGTCCAAGGAGGAAGCAAAGAGTGGGAGAAAAGCAAGTTCTGTGCAGGGTAGAGAAACAGGTAGTTTCTACTTGTGACCTGGAATGTGAGAGGAAGTTTGACGATGGGTTTTACACCCAAGAACTATTTCCACTTGAGCCATCTCTGTATGCTCATAAATCTCGATATCACTGGGAAATTATTAAATGATCTCAAAACAAAAATGGGGAGGGAAAGATGGAATAAACAAGTTATGAAGTCAAAGCATCTCTGGCCAAGTCTCAACTGACTCACCGTCTTTCTCTAGCCCCTCCCCCAAAGGAAAGGTGTATCCCCACAGCCTGCCTCATATGTTCTCCTTTACCTAGCTATGAACCTGATTGGAGTGAACGTCATCTATAGCAGCAGGCACCAATATGCTTCGGTTCTGGGGTCACGTTAAGGAAAAGTTGCACACGCAGGAATTAACTCGGGTTCACAGTCATGCTGAGCACGGGGGACTCCTGTGTTTCCCTGTTTGTAGCAGGGAGATTTTTTAAAATTCCCTTCAATCTCATTCATGAATGGCAGAGAAAACTTAGAAAGATTCACACTCACCCACTTACCCTGAAAACATGTTTATCCTTGAGCTGAAATCATGGCCCAAGCCCCAGTTGCCAGTCACCCTTTCACACCCTTCTGCATGAATAATCTTTCCAAAATGTCTGCTCATGGAAGCAAGATTTAGAATTTCACAGAAAACTACAGAGAGGCTCAGTACTATGTGGATCCCATTAGCCAGAAAGAGCCAAAGATCTAGAGGAGAATGAGAAAGGGGATCTCTCCAGCCAATAAAATAAAACATCTTTCCCCCCACCAAAAGCAACGTGGAACCCATGATCAGAAAAGAAAAAAACAAAACAAGCGCATAGAGACCATGTTTGTAATTACCCATCCAGGGTCTATGTCCACCTCGTCCAAGCAGAGAAACGGCTGGTTGAAGTTTTGTGGCTGTCTGACTGTGATGGGAGGGCTGTATTTGAAGCTCTGGGCACGTAGAGAGGGAATGAGAAGGAGGCTGAGCTGGAAGAAACATCAAGGGGGGAGGGAAGAGGAGAGAGTGTGAGAGAGGGAGAACGAGAGGGAGAGAGGAGCAGCAATCGCCAGCTACGCCTTCCTCCAAGCTCCAGGAGGCCCTGGCCAGCACTCATTCCAGGACTGGGGGACAGAAGTCGGTGAGGCCAGGCAGCCCTGCTCTCGGCCCTGGTCTGGCCGGTCCCCGGGGGACAGAGGCCGGTGGCCCGCGCCCCCCTCCTGGCCCACAGCCGGCCGGCTGTGGAGTGCAGCAAGCGCACAGACTGGGGAGCTGTCCAGTTCAGCACCGCGGCGATGCGGTAGGTGGGAGCGCCTGGCCACGGGGAGCTGTCCGGTCCAGCCCCACGGCGATGCAGTAGGTGTGAGCACCGGACCGCGGGGAGCTGTCCAGTTCAGCACCACGGGCGATGCAGTAGGTGGGAGCGCCTGGCCCCGGGCCGCGCGGCCGCGAGCGGGGGAGGCGGGCAGGCCTGCCTGCAGCAAGACGCCGGCTCGCGCGCCCGATCGCTCTCTTCGCTTCCAAGGAGCTTTGCGGATCGGGGGAGGGAACCCCGCCTCGATTCTCCGGGAGAAACCCCCTC